AGCGGGCTTGCCCCGCGCTGGGTTGCGAAGCAGCCACAATCCAGGCGATGTGGTTTCAACTGACACTCCGAGGTGCCTGAGTTTGGGGCCGCTTCGCAGCCCAGCGCGGGGCAAGCCCGCTCACCACAAGAGCCTCATCTTCTGAGGTGATGGTTCACTGAAGGTGGGTAGGGAGCCATGCCTCGATAGCGCTGGGTCAGTCAGCCCAGCTGTTGCTGACTCACCGTTGTGGTGACCTGGCCTTGCTGTGGTGAGCGGGCTTGCCCCGCGCTGGGCTGCGAAGCAGCCCCATTCCAGGCGATGCGGTTTCAACTGACACTCCGAGGTGCCTGAGTTTGGGGCCGCTTCGCAGCCCAGCGCGGGGCAAGCCCGCTCACCACAAGAGCCTCATCTACTGAGGTGACGGTTCACTGAAGGTGGGTAGGGAGCCATGCCCCGTTAGCAGTGGGTCAGTCAGCCCAGCTGTTGCTGACTCACCGTTGTGGTGACCTGGCCTTGATGTGGTGAGCGGGCTTGCCCCGCGCTGGGTTGCGAAGCAGCCCCATTCCAGACGATGTGGTTTCAACTGACACTCCGAGGTGCCTGACTTTGGGGCCGCTTCGCAGCCCAGCGCGGCGGGGCAAGCCCGCTCACCACAAGAGCCTCATCTACTGAGGTGACGGTTCACTGAAGGTGGGTAGGGAGCCATGCCCGTTAGCAGTGGGTCAGTCAGCCCAGCTATTGCTGACTCACCGTTGTGGTGACCTGGGCTTGCTGTGGTGAGCGGGCTTGCCCCGCGCTGGGTTGCGAAGCAGCCCCATTCCAGGCGATGCGGTTTCAACTGACACTCCGAGGTGCCTGAGTTTGGGGCCGCTTCGCAGCCCAGCGCGGGGCAAGCCCGCTCACCACAAGAGCCGCAGCTACTGAGGTGATGGTTCACTGAAGGTGGGTAGGGAGCCATGCCCCGTTAGCAGTGGGTCAGTCAACCCAGCTGTTGCTGACTTACCGTCATCGGGGCAGGTCGAATCGGCACATCGCCCCTCCCACCTTTGATAGTCATTGCCTGGGCTGGATCATCCGGTGCAGTGCCGCGCAGTCTGCGGCATGCCAGTCCGTCAACTCGGGCCACGGGTTCTCCGGCAGGTTTACCAGCACGGTCCGCGTTCCCGCCGCACGGCCGCAATCGAGGTCGAAGCGGTAATCCCCAACCATCACCATCTCTTCCGGCGCTACCTGCCATGCCGCTGCCAGCTTCAGCAGGCCCCCCGGTTCCGGTTTGGGCGGTGCGTCTTCGCGGCCCAGCACATCGTCGGCGGCGAAGCAGTCGGCCAGGCCGATGGCCTGCAACGTAACGTGGGCCAGTTCCCGTGCGTTGCGGGTCAGGATGCCCAGGCGATAACCGCGCGCAGCCAACTCGCGCACCAGTTCCACCGCACCGTCCGCTGCCACCGAGCCCAGCGCCAGTTCACGCTCATGCTCCAGTAACCAGGCATGTTTGGTCGCCGCCACCTCGGCGGGCAATGCCGCCAGGTGGGTGAGGATGTCGTCCTCGGGTGGAATCTCCAGGGCCACGCGGATGGCGGCGAAATCATGCACAGCCACCGTGAGGGTGCCGTCCATATCGAAGACCCAGTGCTTAACGTCCGTCAGGCTCATGCCCAATCCTTGCGATGGCGGATCAGCCCTTCCTGGGTTACCGACGCCACCAACTGCCCGGCGCGGTTGAACACGCTACCACGGGAGAAGCCTCGGGAGTTGCCGGCCCACGGGCTATCCATGGCGTAGAGCAGCCAATCGTCGGCGCGCAGATCGGCGTGGAACCACAGCGCGTGGTCGAGGCTGGCGACCTGCATGTCTTTCTGCCACACGGTCTTGCCGTGGGGCAGCAACGAGGTGGTCAACAGGCCGAAGTCCGACGCGTAGGCCAGCAGGTATTTATGCAGCGCCGGCGCATCGGCCAGGGCGCCGTCGGCACGAAACCACACGTACTTGACCGGGTCGGACGGCTGCGGGTTGTAGGGATCTTTTTCAGTGACGGGGCGCACTTCGATCGGCTTGGCGCACAGCAGTTTGTCGCGCATGGGCTCGGGGATCAGGTGCGCACGCTGGCGCGTCAGCTCCAGCTCCGATGGCAGGTTTTCCGGGCCCACCACTACGGGCATGGTGCTCTGGTGCTCGAAGCCTGCTTCGTCGTACTGGAACGAGGCGCTGCATGTAAAAATCGGCTGCCCCTTCTGGATTGCCGTAACCCGGCGCGTACTGAAGCTGCCGCCGTCGCGCACGCGGTCCACCGAGTACACCACCGGCAACCCCGCATCGCCGGGGCGCAGGAAGTAACCGTGCAGGGAGTGCACATGCCGCGCTTCTTCGACGGTCTGGCTGGCCGCCGACAACGACTGGCCGAGCACCTGGCCACCGAACAACTGGCGAAAACCCAGGTCCTGGCTGCGGCCGCGAAAGAGGTTTTCCTCAATCGGCTCCAGCGTCAGCAGGTCCACCAGATCTTCCAATACTTGGCTCATTGAGCAACTCCTAAAAACGATAGGGCATTCCGGGCTGCTTATCCGTGCAGCGTGTCCAACCATTGGGCGCGGGTGATGCGGTACAAAACATGATGACGCAGCGGGTCGTCGGCCGCGACTTTGGGGTGCTCGAAATCGGCTTGCGGATCGTAATGCATACCGATGGCCTGCATGACTTTTTGTGAAGGCAGATTGGCCTCAGTGGTGAAGGCGACGATTTCATCCAATTGCAATCGATCGAAGCCACACCGCAGCGCAGTCCAGGCCGCTTCACTGGCGTAGCCCAGGCCCCAGTGCTCGCGCGCCAAACGCCAGCCAATCTCCACCGCCGGGGTGAAGCCGGTTTCAAAGCTGACGTTCTGCAACCCGGTGAGGCCAATAAACTCGCCAGTGTCCTTGCGCTGCAAGGCCCAGAAACCGAAGCCGTATTCGGCGAAATGCCCACGGATGCGCCCGATCAACGCGGCGCTTTCCAGATGGCTCAGCCGGGCCGGAAAATAGCGCATCACCTGAGGGTCGTCGCACATACTCGCAAACGCCTTGAGGTCTTTGTCGCGCCACTGGCGCAGCACCAGCCGCGCGCTTTCCAATTCCAGTATCGGCTCCATGGGGCCCCCTCCCTTGCCATGTGCGTGAGTGTACAGCGCTGTTAAGATCCGTCGCAGGTTCCCGTCAGAAAATTCCATGCCATTGCCACTGATTTACCACGATGACTACAGCCCCGAGTTCCCGGCAGACCACCGGTTCCCGATGGATAAATTCCGCCTGCTGCGCGACCACCTGGTGGCCAGCGGCCTGACCGAAGACCACCAACTGCTGCGCCCGTCATTGTGCCCGCCGCAGATTCTGGCCCTGGCCCATGAACCTGGGTATATCGAACGCTACATGAGCGGCGAGTTGTCCCGCGAAGACCAACGGCGCCTCGGCCTGCCCTGGAGCGAAGCCCTGGCCCGGCGCACGGTGCGCGCGGTCGGCGGCTCGATTCTGACCGCCGAAAAAGCCCTGGAACACGGCCTGGCCTGCCACTTGGCGGGCGGCACCCACCATGCCCATTACGATTACCCGGCTGGCTTTTGCATTTTCAATGACCTGGCGGTGATCAGCCGTTACCTGCTGGAAAGCGGCCGGGTCAACCGCGTGCTGATATTCGACTGCGACGTGCACCAGGGCGACGGCACTGCACGCATCCTGCACGACACACCGGAAGCGATCACCGTGTCGCTGCACTGCGAAAAAAACTTCCCGGCACGCAAGGCCCATAGCGACTGGGACATCCCGTTGCCCATGGGCATGGGCGATGCCGACTACCTCAAGGTGGTCGATGACGCCCTCAACTACCTGCTGCCGTTGTATCAGCCCGACCTGGTGCTGTACGACGCCGGCGTGGATGTGCATAAGGACGACGCCCTCGGTTACCTCAAGCTGACAGACCAGGGCCTGGCCGACCGCGATGAACGCGTGATGCGTCACTGCCTGGGCCGTGACATTCCGGTGATGGGCGTGATCGGCGGCGGCTACAGCAAAGACCGCGCCGCTCTGGCCCACCGGCACGGCATCCTGCACCACAGTGCGCAGCGGGTATGGACGTCATCAGGCTGTCATTGAACCGTGGGCCGTTACCCACAATGCCTGTGGAACGGCCTGTGGATAACTTGAGCGTAAGCGTCTACGAGCCAGTAGCTGTATAGCGTGTAGGAAGCTGTACATTTTTTGATCAGGCAACGCTGCGGCGCTCGGGTAGAATGCTCGGCTTATTTCCGCGACCGTAGCCTCTGCCCATGTCCGACCTTTCTGCTCATCACGTCACCATTATCGGCGGCGGCCCTGCCGGCTTGATGGCCGCCGAAGTCCTGAGCCTGGCGGGCGTGCGGGTCGATCTGTACGACGGCATGCCATCGGTGGGGCGCAAATTCCTGCTGGCCGGCGTGGGCGGCATGAACATCACCCATTCCGAAGCGTACCCGGCATTTATCGCCCGCTACGCCGAGCGCGCGCCGCAGATGGCGCCGTTACTGCGAGGGTTTGGCGCCGACGACTTGTGCAACTGGATACACGGCCTGGGCATCCAGACGTTTGTCGGCACCTCCGGCCGCGTGTTTCCCACCGACATGAAAGCCGCCCCGCTGCTGCGCGCCTGGCTCAAGCGTCTGCGCGAACAAGGCGTGGTTATCCACACCCGGCATCGCTGGACCGGCTGGACTGCCGAGGGCGATTTACTTATCCACAGCCCGGACGGCGATAAAACCCTGCGCAGCGACGCGGTGTTGCTGGCCCTGGGCGGCGGCAGTTGGTCGCGCCTGGGCTCCGACGGCGCATGGCTCAAGCTGCTGGAAGATCGGGGCGTACCCTACGTGCCTCTGCAACCGAGCAACTGTGGCTTTGAAGTGTCGGCCTGGAGCGATTTGATGGTCAGCAAATTCGCCGGCGCGCCGTTGAAAAACGTCGCCATCGGCTTGGGGGACGACAAACCGCGGCTGGGCGAATGCGTAATCACCGCCACCGGCATCGAAGGCAGCCTGATCTACGCACTGTCGGCGCCGATTCGGGAAGCGATCAACCGCGACGGCGCGGCCACCGTGCATATCGATTTGCTGCCGAGCAAGGCGCTGGATAAGGTCCAGGCCGCCCTGGCCAAGCCGCGCGGTTCACGCTCGATAAGCAAGCATTTGCACAGTCAGCTGGGGCTGGATGGCGTGAAAGCCGCGCTGCTGCGCGAGTTGACGCCAGCCGAGCATTTCCAGGATCCCGCGCAATTGGCGGTGGATATCAAGGCGTTGCCACTGACGCTGGTGAAAACCCGGCCCATGGATGAAGCGATCAGCACAGCCGGCGGCGTGCCGTTCGAAGCACTGGACGAACGCTTGATGCTTAAGCAATTGCCGGGGGTGTTTTGTGCCGGTGAGATGCTGGATTGGGAGGCGCCGACGGGCGGGTATTTGCTGACGGGGTGCTTTGCCAGTGGTCGGGCAGCTGGGCGGGGCGTGTTGGAATGGCTTAATCGTTGAGATGTGTGGTGGGTTTGAAACCCCATCGGGGGCAAGCCCCCTCCCACAATTTGACTGTATTCACAAATCAAAAATGTGGGAGGGGGCTTGCCCCCGATAAGGCCATCAGCCACACCAAAAAATCACTTCTTCTTACGCGGCCCGGTATTGAATACCGGCACCTTACGCACCGGCTTGATCGAAGGCTCCGACGGTGCGACATCACCACTGTCCACCCACTTGCCCAAATTGCGCTTGCCGCCACCACCGGACGCCTTGGGCTTCTTCGGTTTTTTCGGCTTCTTCACCACCTGACCGCTGGCGTCGGTTTCGGGCACGCGGTGCTCCGGCTCGAACTCCGGCTCGGTTTTGCGCGTGAGGGTCTGACGGGTCAGCATCTCGATGGCCGACAGCATGTTCACTTCATCGGCGCACACCAGGGAAATCGCCTCGCCGGTGTTGCCTGCGCGGCCGGTGCGGCCGATGCGGTGGATGTAGTCCTCGGCCACGATCGGCAAGTCGAAGTTGACCACCAGCGGCAGGTCTTCGATGTCCAGGCCACGGGCCGCCACATCGGTGGCCACCAGAATCTGCACATCGCTGGACTTGAAGCGGTCCAGCGCGCGTTGGCGCGTAGCCTGGGGTTTGTCGCCATGGATGCCATCGGCGTTCACGCCCAGGCCCTGCAACTTGTCCACCAGTGCGTCCACGCCGTTGCGGGTCTTGGCAAACACCAGCACCTGCTTCCAGCGGCCTTTGCGCATCAGGTGCACAAACAGCTCCGGCTTGCGCTTCTTGTCCACCGGCACCACCCACTGCTTGACGGTGTTGGCCGCCACGTTGCGCGGGCTGACTTCGATGCTCAGCGGGTCGTTAAGCATTTGCCCGGCCAGCAGGCGGATATCATCGGAGAAGGTCGCCGAGAACAGCAGGGTCTGGCGCTTCTTCGGCAGCATGCGGTAGATGTTCGCCAGTTCTTCGGAGAAGCCCAGGTCGAGCATGCGGTCGGCCTCATCCAGCACCAGGGTTTGCAACTGGTTGAGTTTCAGCGCGTTCTGGCGGAACAGGTCGATCAGGCGGCCCGGTGTGGCGACCAGGATGTCGACGCCCTTGCGCAGCTTCATCATTTGCGGGTTGATGCTCACGCCGCCGTACACCGCATAGGTGGTCAGCGGCAGGTGTTGCGCATATTCGGCGACGCTGGCGTGAACCTGCTCGGCCAGCTCGCGGGTCGGGCACAGGATCAGGGCGCGCGCCGAGTTAGCGGCGACTTTCGGCCCTTCCATGGTCAGCAATTGCAGCAACGGCACGGCGAAGCCGGCGGTCTTGCCGGTGCCGGTCTGGGCGGCGGCCATCAGGTCGCGACCGGCCAGCACCGCCGGAATGGCTTGCGCCTGCACCGGCGTCGGGGTCTGGTAGCCGAGCGTCTCAAGGGCGCGCAGCAAGGGTTCGATCAGGCCAAGGGTGGCGAAAGTCATGTAGTTACCGTAGGAAAAATCAACGCAAGGTCGCAATGCGCGGCAGTTTACCTTATTTCCGGCTTGGGCTTGCGCCACTGGGGCAGGCTGATCAACAGCACCGCGCTGATAATCACCAGCATCGCCAAGGCTTCTTCCAGGCCGATGCTCTCACCGACGAACACAATCCCCAGCAACACCGCCACCGCCGGGTTGACGTAGGCGTAACTGGTCGCCGCCGCCGGGCGTACGTGCTTGAGCAGGTACATGTAGGCGTTGAACGCGATGATCGAGCCGAACACGGTCAGGTAGGCCAGGGCCAGCCAGCCTTCCAGCGGCGGCAGGGCTTGCAGGTGTTCGCCGGACAGCGCACTGCCGAGCAGCAGCGCTACACCGGCCACCAGCATTTCCGCGGCACTGGCCATGGCGCCCTGGGGCAATGGCAACTGCCGGCTCCACACCGAACCGAACGCCCACGAAGCCGCCGCAAACAGCAACAACGCGGCCCCTATCGGACTCGATTGCAGGGTGCTGCCCATGTTGAGCATGGCGATGCCGACGATCCCCAGGATCACCCCGGCCCATTCCAGCCGCGTATTGCGCGCGCCCCAGAAGTACCCGCACAGCAGGGTGAACAGCGGCACCGTCGCCACCGCCAGCGCCGCCACCCCGGACGACACGCCGGTGTGCTCGGCCACGCTGACGCCGCCATTGCCGAAGGTGAGCAGCAAAATGCCGATCATCCCGGCGGCTTTCCATTGCTTCCAAGTCGGCGCCGGCACCCCACGCCATCTGAGGTAGCCATACATCAACGCCCCCGCCGTGCAAAACCGAATCCCCGCTAGCAACAGCGGCGGCCAATATTCGACGCCGATGCGGATCACCAGGTAGGTGGAACCCCAGATCACATATAAGGCAAAGAAGGCAGCGATCAACGGTAAGGGAAAGCGACGTGGGCCAGGCATGGGGCGGCTCTATGACGGAAACGGGAGGCTTATTCTAGAAAGGCAGGCGGATAAAAATAAGTTACAAAACCTGTTTAAACGGCCCATACACTTTTCAAAACAGGGTTATGGGGGCTATAAGCTTTGTTTTCGAAAGCAACCGGTGATTGGAGCCTTTCTATGGACAAATACGACCGCATGCTCCTCAACGCCCTGCTTGAAGACGGCCGCGCGTCCTACGCACAACTGGCGCGCATCGTTAACCTCTCCGCCCCCGCCGTGGCCGAACGCGTGGCCAAGCTGGAGGCCAGCGGGGTAATCACCGGCTATCAGGCCAAGGTGGACCTGTCCAAAGTGGGCTTACCGATTCAATGCGTGATTGAACTGCGCCTGACCCACCACGGTAATCAAAAGGTCTACGACGCCCTCGCCGAAATCCCCGAACTGACCGAGTGCCACCGCGTCACCGGCGACCCCTGCGTGATCATGCAGGCGGCGGTGGGGTCGATGCAGGAGCTGGAAAACTTGATCAACCGGATTGCAAAGTTTGGCTTCAGCAAGACCTCGATCATCCTATCGAGCGCGATAGAACGGCGAGTGCCGTTGGGGCAGTTGGAGGGCAACGGGAAAACGCTTGGCTGATAGATCGCCATCGGGGGCAAGCCCCCTCCCACAGTTTTGACCGTGTTGACTGCGCAATCCGAAGGTAAACACAGATCCAATGTGGGAGGGGGCTTGCCCCCGATAGCGGTAGACCGGTCAGCTAATCCGTGACTGACACACCACAATCGGGGCAAGCCCTCTCCCACATTTCCAGCGGAGTTGTTCTGTCAGAACCCGCGATGTTTCTTCAGGTGCTCATTGATCTTCGCCGCCGGCACTTTCTGCAAGGTGCATAGCAGGTCGTGGGACAGTTCGCGCAAGCCGTGAGTCCCGCGCAACTCCTTGGCCAAATGCGCCGTCAGGTTGGCGGCCATTTCCGCGTCCGCCAATGCCCGGTGAGCCTTGCCGGTATGAGGCAGTTGAGCGAAAGCATTCAAGGTGCCGAGCTTATGGTTGGGGGCCGAGGGCATCAGGCGGCGGGCCAGTAGCAGGGAGCAGGCGAATTTCTGCAGGCGGGTGCGGCGGATCAGGCCCAGTTCGAAGTCCAGAACTTCTGGTCGAACGCGGCGTTGTGCGCCAGCAGCGGCGTGGTGCCGACGAACTCGTTGACTTCGTTCATCACCCGCTCGGCCGGTGGCGCGCTGCGCAACATGGCGTTGCTGATGCCGGTCAGTTGTTCGATAAAGCCCGGCACGCGCACGCCAGCATTCATCAGGCTCTGGTAGCGGTCGACGATCTGCCCACGCTCAAGGATGACCACGGCGATTTCCGTGGCCCGGCAATGGCTGCTCGGGGTGATGCCGGTGGTTTCAAAGTCGATGACCGCTATACGTTCCAAACCTGTTCCTACTCCGTCAAAACAACTATTTGAGCAGCAACGCGCCTTCGATCGGCACGTAGCGGCTGGCGGCGCGTATCAATGAATTGGCCGTGAGCCCCGGTACGCCATAAGCCACGGCTTCAACGCCATGTTTGTGGATGATGCGTTCGAGCAGCATGTCGAAATCGCCGTCGCCGGAGGCCAGCACCACTTCGTCGACGTGGTCGGCGGCGTCCCATGATGTCGAGGGTGATGCCCACGTCCCAGTCGCCCTTGGCCGAGCCGTCGCTGCGCTGGATATACGGCTTGAGCTTTACCGTGAACCCCAGGTTGCGCAGGATCTGCTGGAACTGCTGCTGCTTGCTGTCGCCCCGGTCGATGGCATAGGCGTACGCCTCGACGATCTGCCCGCGCGAGCTGATATCAGCCCACAGGGCGGCGTAATTGAAGTGGCAGCCATAAGCCTGGCGCACGGTGTAATAGAGGTTTTGTACATCGGCGAACACTGCAATTTTCTTCACCGCACTTCCCCATGACAGCCATTTGGACCCGGCATACGGGGGTCCGCAAAGGCGCCAGTATGCCAGCCAGCGGGAAGTTTCCGGGAAAAATCAGACCGGGGCGCTATGCCGCCCCGGTCTGGCTATGTTCAGACGAAGGAATCGTCGTCGCCGAAGGAGGAAGAATCGTCGGAATAATCGCTGTCGGCAAAGCTGTCGGCATTGTTGCTGCCCCAGCTGTCATTGCCGGCGTATTTCTGGTCATCGCTGCCCCAACCGCCTTGATCGCTGGCCGGCGCCGGTTGTTCGATGATTTCCTCCACCACCTGCGGTTGCGAGTTGTGATGGAACAGGCTGCTGATGCCCTCGGCCAGTAACACACCACCGGCCACGCCGGCGGCGGTTTTCATGGCGCCGCCAAGGAAGCCGCTGCCCATGGGCGCGGCAGGCGCTTGGGGTGGTTGCTGATAGTTCTGTTGTGGCGCGGGCTGGCTAAAGGAAGGCCGCGCCGGTTCGCGCCAACCGCCGCCCGTGGAGGCCGGAGCGCTCTGGGTCGGTTGTGCGTCGCGGGAGCCGCCGCCAAAGATGCTCGACAGGAAACCGCCACCGCTGGAGGCCGCAGGTTGCGCGGATTTGGCACGCTGCAACTCTTCCTGCAACTGCTGGATCTGCTGCGCCTGTTGCTTGTTCTGCGCGTCGAGGCTCTGGAGTGCGTGTTCCTGCACCAGAATCGACTGGGTCATGTAGTACCCGGCGGCCGGTTGGCGAGTCATGTGCTCCTTGATCCGCGCTTCGGCCTGGGCGTCGCGGGGGGCTGAGTCCGTTTCGGCTTGCTGCAACCGTGAAAACAGTCCATCGATCAGGGTTTGCTCTTCGCTGTTCATGGCGACCTCGTTAGATTGCCGGTAGAAATCATGGTCCTGACCTTGATCAGGCCAGGTGCGTGCTAGTTATGGGGCTGTTACCAATTGTTTCAATGGTCTTTACTCAAGGTTTACGTTTGCGCCCCTGCGATGCTGATCGGTTAAAGTGTCGCCCTTGTTTACAGGCCTGCGATGAACCTGATGAATCCGTTAGACGTACTGCGCGACTCCTTCCGTTTTACCCAGCGCAATCTGGGCGCCATCGTTCAGTTGTGCCTGCCCTTGGTGATTCTTGAAGCGGTGCTGCAACAAGTGCTCGACCATACGCTGGGGGCGGATGCCTTCCCCGGTTACAGCGTGGTGGTGGGGCTGCTGGTGTACCCGTTGTACACCGGCGCCCTGATCCTGTTCCTCGATGCCCGCACCCGTGGCGAGGCGCCGCGTACCCGCGATGTGTGGGCGATGGCGCTGACCCTGTGGCCGCGTTTCGCGCTGCTGACGGCGATGAGTACGCTGCTGATTCTGCTGGGGCTGTCACTGTATTTTCTGCCGGGGCTGTGGCTGATGGTGGTGCTGGCGTTCGCCGAATACCTGTTGGTGCTGCGCGACATGCCGGCACTGGAGGCGATGAAGGAAAGTTTTTCGTCTGACGCGCGGCCACTTCTGGCGCATCCTGGTGTGCCTGCTGTGTGTGATGACGCCGCTGTGGCTGCTCAAGGGCGTAAGCGTCGCGGCGTATCCCGAACCCGCGCCATTGCTGGGGGTATTGATCGACAGCGCCCACAGCTTCCTGCAATTGTTCACCAGTGTGGTGCTGTTCCGTTTATTCATGCTGATCGGTGGCGACGCCGACGCACGGTGATATGCTCCCCGCCACTCCTGACACGCCATAAGCCGAGCCGATGACCCGTTTATTGCGCATCACCTTGCTGGGCCTGTTGTTGATCGCGGGCCTGTTGACCGCGTTGATCTACAACCTGACCTGGCGCCCCGAGCCCAAGCAGACCCTGCCCGTCAGCTGCGTGGCGCCACGTGCGCCGACCCTGTTGCCCGGGCAGGCGCTCAAAGTGATGACGTGGAACGTGCAATACCTGGCCGGCAAGAACTACGTGTTCTGGTATGACACCACCGACGGCAGCGGCCCGGACGAGCGCCCCACCGTAGAAGACATGGCCGCCAGCCTCGACGAAGTGGCGCGGGTGATCCGCGACGAACAACCCGACATCCTGCTGTTGCAGGAACTCGACGAAAACGCCAAGCCCTCCCATTACCAGGATCAACTCGCGTTGCTGCAAGA